TGTGTGTGTGTGTGTGTGTGTGTGTGTGTATATATATACATACATACATATACATATATATTTCTTTTGATGACTGATGAACACAATGTAACCACTTGACATTTCAAAGGCATTAGAATTTCTTCAGGTGTATGTAATGAAAGCGTTGAACCTGACATTGCTATCCAGTTGTTGATGAGAAGCAAGGTTTTATAGGAATTAACTCCTTTGTGAAGGCAACGTTCCTTTGTAGCTTTTAGCCCAGTAGTAAACAGAAGTCTGTGGTATTAACTTTATATGTATGTATACACAAACCACAAAACTGCAATTCCGTAACGAGTACTCGATCTGTAAGTAAAGTGCATACCAAAAGTGCACATTTATGTATGGAGCAATTGATGTTGTATGTATGCAATAATAAATGTAATTCAACATGAAGCATAATGTTATTAATTATTGTCTGCATCAGATAATATTACATATGATAAAATATTTAAAGAGGCAGCTGCTCAAAGTAGCTTTACTTTTAATTGCATAAACAATATTTAATTCTAATGTTTATTAAATGTTTATTTAATAAAATAAGCAAAATCACATAAATTAAGGGTTTAACCTGTACATTTTTAATACATTTTACTAATAAGGTTGCAATAATTAGAAAATAGTTTTTAAAAATTAAGCTCCTACTATATTTGAGGGTTAAAACACCTTTACTGTCAATTGTTTTAGTATTATTTATGTAGTGTGTATTAATATTTTTAATTAGCTTTATTTTTATGTTTTATTTTATTATATTTTCTTTACTAGTGTTTGTTTGTTTTTTGTAATTGCTAATAATAGTAATTTTAGTAATTCAACTTTTATTTCAATTAGTTGACAATTACAACATTTCTAATTTTAACTTTAGAATCTAACATATTTTATTTCAGCTTTAATTTATTTATGAAAGAATCGTTTTAACGTTTTAACGAGTTTAGGCCCTATTTTGCCGAGATTTATTAATATTAAGAGGGACAAATCATATCAGATTCAGAGCCTTTATCTTGTAATCTCCCACTTCCGGTCAAGCGGGATATTCGGTCAAGTCTGTTGCCGCTGTCTTCACACCGTTATGAGAAGGTAAATAGATCACCGTGATTCCTATCTATCACCATCACCACAGCGCTGAACTGAACAGCGGATCCGGCTCTCGCAAACACAGCCATGACAGGATGCCAAAGGAGACGCGCCTCCGTCTCAAGGGCTTTTATGCTCCCCCGTTTACTGTGCCTGATGTGTTTTGCTGTCATTAGTCTGGCTGAGAACACGGAGATGGTGAACGTGGTGACGGAGAGGAAAGCGGAGGAGAGCCACAGGCAGGACAGCGCCAATCTGCTCATATTCATCATGTTACTCACACTCACTATCCTCACGATATGGCTCTTCAAACACCGCCGCTTCAGGTTCCTACATGAGACGGGTTTGGCTATGATTTATGGTGAGAATTATTTAATATAATCAATATTCAAGTTCACATTCAGGAAACCTTGTGTAGGTGGGCACCAGAAATATTGTGCATGAACTCACTGCATGTTCTCAAAATACTTGTTGATCTGTTCAATAATGTGTTTTGTCTCAAGAAATTACCATGATAACCATAGTTTAGTTTCACATACTGTAGCCACTAATATGGGAAAATATATAATATATGGGCGTAATAAATACTTAATCTAAATTTGAAATATAAAAATATTGGTCTTAATTTGTATACTTTAGTACATTATACATACAGTATAAGTCAGAGTTTAATTTAATTGTGTAATAAATTCTTATAAATCTAAATTGAAATAATAATTATAAGAATTAATTTATATATTTTAATCAATTTAATACATATAAATCAGTTTCAATGCAGTTTGTGTAATAAATAATTCTAAATTTAAATCATAGTTATAAATCTTAATTTATATATTTTAATACATTTAATTTAATTTCTGACATTTTGTTATTTATTTTTATTTATGTATTTTTCATTGGCAGTGGTGGCTAACGCCACATTACTACCATTTTACTTTTGTAACAATAACAGGTATTCTAGGAGAAACTGTGATTACCATGGTATTTATTTGTACTGGTAGCTTGACAACTGCTTTTGCTATTTCTGTGTATGTGATTTGTGTAGCATGCTGTGTATTAAAACTATATTTGAAATACATGTTTTCTGTCCTCAGGTTTGTTTGTGGGTATAATTCTGCGCTTTGGGGTCCATTTGCCTCAAGACTTAAATGACGTCACCCTGACTTGTGCCATGAACAGCAGTCCCACCACCGTACTGGTGAACGTGAGCGGCCGATTCTACGAGTACAGCCTGAAAGGAGAGGTCCGGGACAGCAAGGGCCATGATGTGCCAAATGCAGAGATGCTCAGGAAGGTACTGCTGTTAAACACTCTAAAAGAGAGGTGCCCAAACTCGGTCCTGGAGGGCCGATGTCCTGCAGAGTTTAGCTCCAACCTGCCTCAACACACCTGCCTGGAGGTTTGTAGTATGCCTAGTAAGAGCTTGATTAGCTGGTTCAGGCGTGTCTAATTGGGGTTGGATCTAAACTCTGCAGGACACCGGCCCTCCAGGACCGAGTTTGGGCACCCCTGCTCTAAAATAACAAAAAATGTCTTACCTGTTATTCTTAATATAGTTCTTTCCTACTACTGAATGCCAAAACTGTATTTTAGGGTACATCATTTTGTTCTCACCCCTGCAAATCTGCTTCTAGGTTACTTTTGATCCTGAGGTTTTCTTCAACATTTTGCTGCCACCCATCATCTTTCATGCGGGATACAGTCTCAAACGAGTAAGAAAATGATTTAAAAAATTTCACAAGATACAGAAAGTCTGAAAGAAAAGCTTGTTTTATTAGAAATTCTGTCTCATATCAATTACTAATGTGGCTGAGCTGTGTTCATTCATTTTAGTAATAATTTCTTTATTCATTTAAATTATCAGAGGCATTTTTTCAGAAATTTGGGGTCTATCCTCTCCTATGCCTTTGTGGGCACATTGACATCATGCTTTGTTACAGGGTGAGTGATGATTTTTCTGAAAGAAGCTTTGTCATAAAAAATATAAATTTAATATTATATATTATATAATTCATTTTGTTGTTCTGTGCAGGTTGGTGATGTACGGCTGTGTGGTGTTTATGAAAGTCATCGGTCAGCTTGGAG